CTGGAGCTAGTTGGCTGACAGTTTAAGCAGAGACGTCGTCCATGTAGCAAAGGCGTGACCATGAGACTAACTCAGAAGCTTTAGCCTCGAATCAGTCACCCAGGTGCAGGGGATGGGCGAATTACGCCTCAGATGGGGGGACAAGAGATGAGTGTAATACGTGTACCAGGCAGATAGCAGACAGATCCTATGGGGCAAGAGGGAGACTCTGATAGGACCCAGAGAAGGTGGACTACGTAACAATATGGCAGACTCTGATCAACATTTCCAACACAAGGGTGAAGGGGGTGATTACGACAGTGTGGAGTGTGAAGGGCTTTCATGAATGCCACTCAAAGGAGCACACCACACTACATCTAAATAGGCACGGTAAAAAATTGTGACAATGAAGGTCTGATAGGAGGATATAGGAAATGCTAATAGCCCAGGGCAGAAGAGGAGATACTGTTTATCACACGTTTGGTCAAAGGATAGGCTTACTTGTCTCTTTGACGAGATGTTGTGTGGTGCTAAAACTGGCGAGACTCACTGATGATGCCGGCGAAACGTTTGGGAATGTACCACGTCAAGGGTCCGACTTTGGAAAGTATTATGCATACAATGGACTCCAGACTAGGTGCGTTCCTCTAAGTATTCCTACCAATATGACCAGATTGCGAAAACAAGGTCAAACAACCTCTATACAATAAAAGAAGACTGCGACCACACAAAAGGCCATCCCATCTTGGTCTTTATACTTTCGATAAAATAAGCTTCTTGGCACAGTGATTATATTTACCTCAACGGAGCTCAGTTCAGGCTCTGTTTTCCCGGCATTATCTCCAGCACAAACGACGTCTTCTGCCCCAACCCCAGCAGCGCGTTTCCTATGAGGCTCTGAGTCAGGCTGAGCTCGGCTTACACTATCAAGATTAGATATGGCTATATTGGCCAATTCAGCGTCATCATTATCTGAGCTTGCAGAATCCTCATTATTGTCACAGCTATAACTAGATGAATCATTGGAGTCATCCTCCTCATCTCCTTCATGAGAAGCACTCACCGTCATTCCGACTTCCTGATCTGATACCTCCTCAGAATATCCACTTTGGCTTTTATCTTCCTCTTCGTCATCAGCGGTCCTTGATATATTCCGTGGATCCATCTCACGCATCAAAAGCAGCTCATCGAAAAGATGGTGCAAGGAAGGCGGATTGGCCATACTGTTAGAATTATTTTTCCGCCGACCCACCATGGGGTAACCAGGTAGTTTTAGTTGAATGTCAATATTACCTGTTCGCCTAAAAAAGATAAAAAGAAAAATAATGCAAATATGGTTCAGACAAATCCAAATACATTAGTAGCCCACAACGGAAATTCAAGCTATGCGCAAACTTCAGTCCGGTTATTGGTAATCAATGACTCAAGGAAGGTCTGTACTGGATGATAGAATTTAAAAAAGTTAAGATATAAAGTCTGAATAATCACAGTTTTTTAAATACCAGAATCTATTATTAACATGGATTCCCTTTCCATAAAAACTCTTTGATCCTAGCATCCAATGGTTAAACTTCTAAAAATGACTGTTGAGTTTAATCCTGTCTCTGGTGCTGCTTTATGACCTAAAATAGCCACATTAAATTGTCTATATTGCTTAGTGTCTCGTTTGAAGCGTAAGCGATCAAATTTCCGACTAATTAGCTTCAAGAACAGGATGTAAAAACATGAAAAATCCCCAAATAAATCCAGAAAAACCTAATAGACTTATAGATTTTTCATTTGGGCTATAATTCAGATCTTCTCAGCGAATATATTATTTGTAAATGCCAGTTTGTACAATTATTCATCTATTTTATTAAGCTTATCAATGAAATAAATAAATGGAGAAATCGATCAATCACATGCGCATGGTGCAACAAATAGGGTATATAAACCTTTTGCACACAAAACGAAATGAACCAGTCCAGCCATCATAACCTTCAATGTAGGAAGTATGGAGCTGTGACTCAGATTGCCGATGATAATAAAGGCATTCTCCGAGTTGGCGATATCTCGTATTGGCGTCCTTACAACTAATTGAACGCGTTTTCCCGTTCAAGTAGCGAATAATATTTTTATATTGTATACATTCAATAAAAATATGTTTTTACAATCAACTAGTAGAGAAACAGAAAAGCATTATAAAACCGACAAGAGTAGATTAACCACAAATCATCTGCTTGATTCCTGCCACTAGATAGAAATAGATAATAGTTTACAGACAACAAAGAAAATTATATAAAAATGCCTACTTTCTAATAGTATAAGAGCGGTGGTAAAGAGAATAAGCTCTCATTCTAAAGGCATTTAACTTAATTTGTATAAGTGAATTACCCTAGGGTACATTAAGGTGACAAAAATCTAAAATTTGAATTTTCCTACTAAGGTATGAATAGGCATCGCGACGCCATTAAATTTCCATTAGCTTTGCCTCCAAAAGGCCATTATCCTCCAGAATGTATTGGGCCAAAGACTCCACATCGTCTGGGTCTCATCAGAATCTACGACAGTTATCGAACCATGGAAGCGCAAAGTTTATTTCATACAAGCCACCGTGACTACGTATTGGCGCAGGTGCGAGATGGGGCACCGGCAGTCGAGTCTGGATGAAAATACCGTTAAGGAGAGGAAGTTTAATGAAATTTGATAGGCTTACTTATATCACTGAAAAAATGCAACTAATACTTGAACATCTAGGATCTAGTGTTAATACAATTTTTACTCAAGATCTAATGACAGTCTAGAAACCACCAACTTGATTAGTATCCACTAGAACAAAATTACCATAATTCTAGTCACAAACCTTCATACTGTTTATTAATAATTTGATTTTAATTACTAGGTATGTAATAAGAAAATTTGTATCCTTTCTAATAAAATTCTGACTGTAAATAGGTCAGAGAAAACCGAAAGATCGAAAGTTGAAGTGAATAGAGGGATGGATCCAATAAATTCTTAAGAAGTATGCTACTATAAAGGAATGCGCCAAATCGTAAAAAGAGCTTTGCTCTGTCGGTGCTATAAATGTGAAACATTAATAAAATAAAGCTCACTTTATTTGCTCCAGAGAAGGAAGTTCGACTCCCTGATCAAGATCAAAAAAACGGCTAAAGAAGTTGGCGACTCCATCAAGATCCCTCTGAAATATTCTGTAGTTAAAACAAATAGGAAGTAAACTAAATTTACTTTATGAAAAATAATTAATATATTTTCCGATAAAATATAAAGTGAATATTTGTGATCAGCATATTCCGGTACAGTGGCTGCCATTGAAAAGGGAATAGCCAAGAAACGAGTATTATCGATAAAACTACTAACTTAAAATTTGGAAGCAGTTTATTGAGCTAATCGGCTATCTTTTTAAGTAATAGTGTAGCAAAGTATCCCTTGCGACAAGTAAGAAGGCTGTTGAAAGGTTCGAGGACATTCAATTTAGCATTAAAAAAAACGTTTGATAAGAACCTAAATCTCATAGGGTTCCTCCCAATTTAGAACACTATGAAACAATTGAGAAGAGAAAGAATACTTGCAGACCAGCAGCAACGATTTATACTATATTTTAAGGCCATCAGATAAGGTTGGAAAGAACCAGTATTCATAATGCTATTGATGTCTTCGATGAATAGATAAATAAATCAACGGTTAGCAATAACAGATTACTAAAAGTGAGTGGCATTGGTACATGGCTATCGAAGTGGTGGTAAAATCTAAATATTAAACTTTAAATATACCTTTCCCTTGAGATTATAGATCTGCGCTAAGAAATCCCAGGCGCACTGGCTTACGACTTCAATCATATTTACTATTTTTCACAGTTCCCCCTCAATCTCACTAAATCCATATAACGACCACAAGAAGTCCCCACTTCATTTCCTTCGTTTGTTCCCATTCTTCAGGGTTACAACCGATTTTTTATATTTATATGGACTCTATTCCTCCACTTATTCACGAAATCTCCATATCCTGCGGCTTGTGACATCAGAACAATGTGTAAGGGGAAAATAGCTTCATCTCGAGAATTTTCAGATCTTCTCCCGATTAGGTTTTACACTATTGTGTTCATATAGTAACATTTAGGTAGGGAGATATGCTATCCATACATAGGGTTTATCTAATAGTAGAGCGAACAATCGAAATTGCTCGAACATATGGCTGACAAGAATAACCAAACAGACTGGGCTAAAATCAGATGATTCGCAGACAATGGAGATTTAAAAGCAAATGAAAAAGTAGATATGAAGTCCAAAATGTTGTGGCCTCTAATTTTGTCAGTCTTCTTTCGCTGGATAGAAGTTTGACCTTATTTACCTAGCTTGGTCATGTCGCAAGGAGTACCTGGATCAAGGCATTTTATCTGAAGTGGTTTGCTATAGTACTTACGACAATTCCCAGCATTGGTTCATATGCTTGGTACAATGTCAAAAGAATTACCGGCATCAGAGTCGATATTTTCTGTGAATACTGCCAGTCTGAGCACCAACCTACAACTCGTCAGAGACAATAAATCAATCACTTGATTAACTGTCTGGCAAACGATTGCGTTACCCCTCTTGCTCTGCAGGACCTAACTGCCCCTATCCTTGTATATTACCTCTTCGTTAGCAGAACTCCGAGCTTGTTTATATTCGACAACTCTGAAGGCGACCATTTTAACGAGTTTAGTGAGGCGTTATCACGCTTGCCCATTTATTTTGTCCCCCTCCCACTAGATTTGCCAGCGTTGCTAATCCGACTTGGACCTCATATGTGAATCTCCATCATGGACCCGGAGATTTGTTTCTTACCTTTTTAGTTCCAGTCAAAGTATACATTTAACTCAAGGCGTTATTGCTTATGGTATGCCACAAACCTTTGGTAGTACATATACTGTGGTCTTACCGAACAGCGCTTAGGCTCCGATTCCCAAGCCTGAAGATAGCGCGCTATGTCCCCGCGATCCATCTCTATCATTCATTCCACGAACTCCAAGCAAACTATGTGGAAGAGTAGTGGTTGTAGACAAATAAAAAGATTACCCCCCCCCCTCAATAGAAGAAAATAATGTAGGAAATTGAGAGGAAACTACTTGCGAATATTTGGTATACTTAGGAAGATGGTGCCGTTGAGCAAAATTAGTGAATAGCCTCACATGACTCATGAGCCCTGTATACAAGCCACACATACAAAAGAGTACATCTA